ATCTTCTTCTTCTTCTTCTTCTTCTTCTTCTTCTTCTTCTTCTTCTTCTTCTTCTTCTTCTTCTTCTTCTTCTTCTTCTTCTTCTTCTTCATTTACGATTACTTCCAGACTGTCAATCCAACAGTGCGCACAAACTGTGCTGTCCAATATATTTATTATTGCCCTGTCTGTACTCATAAAGTTACGAAGTGAGTACAGTGCTGCTGGATATGAGTCTTGACCTAATTGAATTTGAATTTGGAGTGCGATGAATTGTTGCAATTCATTGGGGCTGCAACGGGGTCGGAAGATTAAGACCTGATCTGCTGCCCTACCTAAATAGTAATTGAGATAGAAGTCACGTCATGATTTGTTGAGACTAGGAAGCGAGTTGATGCAGATGTTACGTTACTGTAAGCTGAGCGAAGATTTTGTGAAGGTTTTGGTCAATGACAACCATAACCCGAGTTATTCTGGCCTCTTCCTTTGCTAACCCATATGCATTTCTTGCTCTCTTTAATTATGCACACATGTACATTTACGCTTTTGTTAATCTAAACCCGCTATCTTTCGAATTACAGAACCAAACGTCGTAAACTGGGGTGTTCCTGCCTTACTGGAAACGCTAGTAAAGAACGTGAGTAGGAGACAAATATTATTGCTAGAAAATGGGTTTCTGCATGATAAAAATTACAAGTAACAACGCTTGCTAAAGGGAAATATAGAACAAAAGGATAAGGGCCACAGAAAGTAAATACTTTTATGGTACAAACTACACACCAAAAAAGAGAACCTTCTTATAATTATTATCATTTCTGTATAGAACACATGTTTCTGCATGGTAAAAGTTGCACAGACCAGACGTGCTAAAAGTAGATGTAGAACAAATTGATTGTAACAAACGAAAGAAAAGAACACGTTTATGCTTCGAAAGTTAAGATGCAATCAAAGGATTAATGTACTTACAATAAGTGGTGGACTCACCGAATTTGACCCCGGGTATAAAGGTCTCATTGCTTGAAGAGTTTGCGCCGTTCAGAAGCGAGGTTACCCAGTTTAGAGCAATAGCTTGCTAAAATTTATAAGGAAGAAAAAAAGCAGGGAAAAAATGAAGTAAATGAGATTCATCCCTGAAACCATCTATTCATTTATGCATTCATTAATCCATTTATTCATCAACCCATGCACCAATTCATTTGTCTGTCTGTCTGTCTGTCTGTCTGTCTGTCTGTCTGTCTGTCTGTCT